ATCGCAAAAATATTAATTTGTTATAAAACGTATAATTTCATAGTAAAAACCTTATAATTTTCAATGTAATAAAAAAAATATTTTTTTTATTATTTTTATATATTTTTAATTAACAATTCCTTATACATCATTTTTTATAAAAAAAATGCTAAAAAAAAATTCCTTATAAAATATAAGGAAATATGATACAAAATTTTAAAAAACGTATACAAAACTTATTTATAATAATGAAAACGTATGCAAATTTTTTATAAGGCTAATTATATCATTATCTATTTTATTTAATTATATTATTTACCTATTCTAACCATATCTATCTAACAAACATCTATCTCTGCTATATCATATTATACTATTTATTTTGCTTAACTAATATATCATTTTATGTAATTATTATTTTTTCATCTAATAAATTGTTATCTAATAATTGGTCTAGTAATATCATAAGAATTATAATAAATAGAAATATGAACCAGTTTTTTTTGATTTTTGATGATAATGATGCAAATTACTCATTTTTTTATTTTATTTTAAATAGAAGTTGTGGTAATAAAGGAAAGATATATATTGATGTATTTCAAATATCCCATTTGTTATTTAATGCAAACTTGAGCAATAGAAAAAATAGATATATTTTAATGAAATTTAATGAAATTTATAATATCTAATGAATATCATTTAATAAAATTTCTAAAATCTCAGGATCATTTATCATATAAGAGATATATGAGATGCTCTTTTAATCACAATTATTGTCATGGTAACTTCCTCAGATAGATTTACTTGTAATACATTGATGATTCTCACTGATAGATCAGATTTGTATTTACATTTATTATAAATCGTTAATCAACTTAGATTTTAAATTTTATCTATATATTTTTACTTTGTAAATATTTTTGTACTATCTTTTATTTTTTATGTAATATAATCTATCACTAGATACTATTATTTTTATTTCATTCATAATATTGTAATTCAACTAGCTTTTCTAGATCACTAACAATTTTTTCACCCCCACATTTGTCACATAAGTATTCCAGAAACTGAGAATATTTTAAGCGGTAAAAAATTTTTTTTCACACCATTATATGTCACCGGTCATATGGGGGGTGGGATGAAATTTTACTTATAAAATTGTTGGTAAATTAATTCAACTATCTATATTTGGGTTAGAATTAAAAAACCTGGGTAACCATTTTCTGCAAATCGCGCCAAAAATTTTATTTAGATTATTTTTTTTTATATGATATATTTAGACTGCGAGAGTAAGATTATTGCTTCATAATGTTGATCCATAATTCAGAAAGGTTTACACAAACTTTTTCAGTTGGTGAAATTTGACAGTTAATAAATCAAACTTTAATTTTCAATATATGCATATTAAAAAATAATGCAGAAGTCAATTTAATATTTGCATCGATCAAAATTGGAATAATTTTCCAGTTCAAAGGCATTTTATTTGCTGTTGATAAACCCGATGTGTTAAACACTAATTTTAGTGCTAAACCATGAGACTAATACAATTAATGTTTATTTTTCCAAATTCATTTTTTCTTAATAGAAATGCTTTATTAGAAAATAGTGTGTATTATACATGACTAACTTTAATAATCCATTTTAACCCACTTATAATGATAATGATAAAAAGCTTACTATCAAATTTTTTGGTGGTCTTCCTCTTCCTCTCCCTTTTCCTCTTTTTGGTGTTGGTGATTGCATCGATGACATTGCTGATGACGCTGATGACCCTAATTGCACTGATGATTTTGCTGATGGTACTGATGACCCTGATGGTCTTGATGGGACTGACGTTTCACTTAAGTTAATACTAAAACATATTGCTTAACTTGTTATTTAATCCAAGGTGACAATTTCCAGACATTATTTTCTGTTGTAGTAACAAACATCTGCTTTTGGTAACGATCATATAACTGTGCTGGTACGACAAAATAAAAGTGAATGTCACCTTCCTTTGCTAACTTAGGGTCCTTTAGATCTTGAAGTTCTTGAGGATCTAGACATCTGAGATGCGTAAAAAGAAGCATCAAAAACATGAAAAATAAATCAGGATATTTCTGCTTGGTTTTGAAAGAAATCACGAAGTTTATCTAAACTAACCATCTTAATTGGATGCAAGATAAAAGCGGTCATTTGTAAAAGAATGTTGGAAGCACAAATCGCATCAATTGATGGAAAATTTTTAATTTCTGGCTGATAGTACTTGTCATTTCAATATTTCCAATATCAGAAGATATGAGTACATCTTCTTGCTTGGCAAATGGTTGATATAGATCTCCATCTTGAGATTCTAAAGAATGATATTTGAAATTTCCTCCTTCTCGTAACATCCGGTGAGCAATCTGCTCAAAACAGCAACCCAAGAATTGATCGCTTGTACCCGTTAACAAGCTTACTTCAATATCTCTAAGCAATTTTTCCAATATCTTTTGTTTAAATTTCTCAGTCACTAATCCACCTACATAATCAGACGCAAAATAATACATTTGCTAAGTATAGGGAATTTTTCTAACATATTCAACTTGTCTATTAACATCATCATCTATATTTTTGTCCTCTTCCTCAGTAGGGAGGTTCGTCCAGAGATGAATGAGAATGTGGCTTATTTTCAGACCAGCTTCATGTCTGCGAATATAATCAAATATCTTCTCACCGCATATTTTAACTGCATTTATGAGTTTTTGTTGCTGAACATAATCATCGGCCTTCTCCAGAACAAACCTAGGGATTCCTCCCCATATAGAAAATAACTTATCAACCTTCTTTATATCAGTATCAGGGTACATTTTATCTCTGCATTTATGGATCTCATCTAAACTCCATTCTGACATTAACCAGTATTGTTGCAAGAGGATACTTATTAAAGTTCGCATAGTGAGACTTTTTGGGCGAACAGACAAGAATTGTCTTAGCTTTAACTTTCTTTGGTTCTATTCCATCTACGATGACTAAACATCTCTTCTGGATTTATACGAATGGGTAATGATCTTATCAAAAGTAAGAAAGGTTTCTTCTCTATCAAAAACGTATGAAGCTCGCTCAGTAACACTTTCATATAAAATAGTTCTTCCTTGTCATGCAAGCAAATATAGTAGGTAATATCTGAAATATGTTTTTCCAATTCCCGGTGTTAGATCTGAAATCATCTTAATCCAAGCTAACAAAACTAAGGAACTTAATAACACAATTATCTCAAAAGCTTTTCCTTAGAGAAATTTACGATAAACAAATAAAACAATTTATTATCACAATTCACTTGTGTAGTAGTTTATTACGATCAATCTTATAATGAAGACAAGAAGAAGGTTGAAAGTGTAAAATAGTAACTTTATTAACTGTAGAGTTATAAGTCTAGTTCCAAGACTTATCTCAATCTCTGAACAAAACTCTGTTGATTCAAGGTCAACTTATAGGTCTATTTATATAAAATTGCTAACTAATACTATACTACACTTTTCAATAAGTATATATAATGAAAATAATATAAGTAATGAAAATAAGACTATATAATATTTATATTAAAAGGTAGACTATTCGATACATGTATTATAAAGTCGACTAAATGATACATGTATTACATGTTTAATATGTATGATATTTAGCACAGTTAACGATCACTTTAAGGCACAGTATAAACTGTAGCTAACACTGGATTACCAGTGATACGTATTCTTCGTATATTATCATCAAGGACGATACTTGCTAGATCTCGGTAGCATTTACGGATGAGCAAAGTTAAAGGTTTATATAGATCTCCTAAAATATGGACGCCATTGGGTAGATCAAGAAATGATTCCTCTTCATTAATTTCTAAAGCTGTTATTATACTCCAATAACTATTTAGACCTTCATCCCAAATTCTTTCATTTCTAGGAGTCTCTGCATAAATAAACAAATTGATAGTAAAAGAAGAGTGTAGAGATATTTGATATTATTAAATAGAATAGCATAAAATAAGTAAGTATTCAGTGTTAATTGCAAATATGATATTGCATTGACGAATCGTAAGAAAATACCAGAATTAGCCTCTTTTAATAACTCCCTTAGGTATAGAAGCTTAGTATTATTGTTTAGGCATGCCACAAGACATTTCTCTACATTAGCCAAATTAGTAGTATTTTTGATGAAAATACTTAAATAAACAAGCCAATTCCCCATCATCCAATTTGCTAGTTTCTAAAACGAGACCATTAACAATGTTAAGAATATTAGTTGAATCGGTTATGTTAAATGATTTTTGCATAAAAAAATAGGTTCACGAGTGGTTCGAAAAAAGTTTTTCTTTTTTACTAGTTCAGTCAGGGAATATACCAAATATGTAATGTAGATCATTTCTTAATATAATAATAAATCTGTAGATTAGAACATTTTAGGTCAACTCCAAATTAAATTGATTGGTTATAAATTAAAATATTTAGAATTTAGAACAGTATTTTTATTATAGAACAGTATTTTTATTTTATAAAAGTATTTTTATTTTAGAATGGTATTTTAGAAAAGAATTTCATATATTTGTAACAAACTTATTTACAACACTAACTTATTTATAATATCTCATTAAATTCATATTTTTTGTAATATGCTGATTTTAAATAAAACTGATTTAACTGGGTATTCAATTATAATAAAACTGAAAAACTGAATTGCAATTAGTTTTATAAACAATATCAACATCAATCTAAATAAATAAAAAAATTCTTTTGTTTAATTTTATTTAATTTTATTAAAAATTATATTAAGCTAATTATATGTTTAAAATGATTAATAAAAAAAAAAAATAGATATTTTGAGGTGGGAAAAATATTAAAATGATCAGATTTCTCTTTAAAAATAAGACTTGATTAAAGATAATTAAGTATATTTTACTAAAATATAATTACTTGCATCAGAAAATAATCTTTCATTAAGCATAAAGATTACAGGAATTAATAGATATTTTTTAGCAAGTTAAGACAAAATTTTTAAAGCTGCTTTTAATTATATTCTACCATTTTAAATAATCCTCTATAATATCAATTTGCTAAAGTTTTATAGAATGTAAAACTTTATACTCCTTCTCATTATTAAATAATTTTTTAAAACTTTAAAAAAATCATCATCATTATCATTATTTTACTGCTTGTAATTTAACTGTCGGTAATTTGACCCTGTCAGTAATTTAATTATTGATAATTTGAGTATCAGTAGTTTGAATGTCAGTAATTTGACCCAGGCCTGTTAGTGAACTCTTTTATCTGCCTTGCGATAGTAAAGTAAAAATCAAACAAAAATTAATAATTAAACGAACTCGCATTTTTCGCAAAGTTATAATAAGGTATGTTTGTTTTATTATTCGGCTAGCATCTAAAGAGCATCATCACAATATTAATCAATTTTTCTGGCTTTATAGATATTCAAAATCAAAGCAGACATATTACCATTCCTGATCTTTATAACATATTTGAGAAAATCAGGATCTCTTCATCAGCATAGTGAAATATAGAGAAAAAATCACATGACTATAATTTCAGTTAGTGCTTTCTACCAAAATTTTATTTATATTGGTAAGACTATATTATGTGACCAGAAAATAATTTGACATGGTAACTTTACTTATGATGTATATCTAATTTCTTAATTAATCTAAAAAAAGGAGTCTCTAAGCCAATTCGCCTTACTTCTATTTGATTATAAGAATTAAGACTTTGAAAAAATTGTTGTTTTAACTAATTCATCTTGATTTATAGCAGGAAGTAAAGAGTATACTAATTTAATCATTGTTCAACGCAGAATAGCACTTGCGTGAGAGAGTAAAGAAATAAATGTGATACTAGAATTTGCATTAAATGGCTTAGGATACGCGTACTCTCTCTCTCTTTGATAGCATCATAAATCTCATTCGCTTCTCTGATTAGTTATATCTATAGCAGATAATAAGTTTTTTTTATTTCAGAACATTTTTTTATTTGCAAAAAATCGTTATCATTGGTAATGATCAAAATTGTGTGACTTTGTAAAATATTTTACTGTTACAGTATATCTGATCAATTTATCAATCTTTGTGACCTTACCCCTTATTTATATCAAATTCTCCAGTTTAAGAAAAAGAAATTTTTTCACCATTTATCCATCCATCATAAATATAGTATGTCTAATATTGCATTATCTAGAATGCTTATTAATCTTTAGTATATCATTCGTGAAAATCATTCTATTTTTAAATTATTATCAGAATAGGTAATGATCTTATTGACCTTAGAAAAATTATCAAGGAGAAGAGGAAGTCTCATTTTGATGATTTTGCACCTGATGAACTAATTCTATAGAAGACTAATATTGCTTCAAATGTAATTAGAAATAAAGAAAAATGTTGTATAAAGTAACATTTGAGTTGTTATTAGTGTTCCCGTTATTGGTTAGTCATAATAATTTTTTTTTATCTTCTCATATCCATATTTGTCAATAATACCAAATGCTTATTTATTCTTGTGCTTTTCTTTCCTGCTTCTTATCGTCAAACCCACCCTAAAAAACATTCAAGCTCCTGATCATTTTATTACTGAAAAAGCACTTTTTAGATTAGTTTCTTCCACTCTTTCTTTTATTGATATTATAAGAACCACAGTTACTTCAGCTTCACGAAGAGTATCAAATTATCCAGTAGAACTATGGAATGATTTTCTTGAAAAAGCATTTAATGCTTCAAATTCAATTAATGTAATAGATTATAAGTTTATTAATCAAAATCTCATTCTACTTCAGATTGGTTTAGAAGAATCAACGGTTGATCTATTTTTGAAAGTGATTTGTAATGTCAATGGTCAAAGATTAAACTTTTTACAAAACCTAAAAAAGTGATGCAAGTGTGATCTAGCTATTAAAGCTGTCAAAGGAGAACTGAATATTGTATGTATTGAAGCTTCAGCCATAATAATGCTTCATTCTATAGATGCAGATAGAATAAGTTTGTTAATAACAGTCGAAGCCAAGCTGGAATAACTTATAAATAATATCATACAAGAAATTATTCATGAACAACATCTTTAAGTAGAGACAGAGAATTATACAATATGTATAATATAACAAGAGGACAGGTAGATCATGATATAAATAATTATTCTAAATACCAAAAATTAAATTGCCTCATTCATCAAGCATTTGAATACATGGTAGTTAATGACAGACAATATGGTATGATTACGATACTCAATCAAACATAGTTTATGCATTGTAATAAAGAAGGGAATGCAAATACTCTTTACATTTTTCTTGCAGTTTCAATCAATTGGATACACATAAATAATCAAGCTTCATTTTGGGAGTGTTTACGATATTTTGAAGATTTATCTGCGTTAGATCCATATGCAAAGTCTAATCTGTCTATGAGTGAAGATAATGATAATGGTGATGCTGGGGATTTAGACAATCAAGACGATCTACCTGATAAGAAAGACAAGAAAAGAAAAGAAAAGACTCTGATTATAACCAATCACGTAAACGTAAATTTTTATCATAAACTACTGAAGGAGATTCAGGACTAGGTTCTCAGACTCAGAGTAAGACTAAAAGTAATGCTACTAATGATACTAAGTTAAGAAAAACTAAGGAGGATATATTACTTAGATATATGAAAAATTATGATCGTAACCGGTTTAGCTTCGATTATTTGTTAGGATATAGTCAAACAGGAAGCATCTTTGAAACAATACTTGACAGAAAAACAGGTGCTCTCAAGATGGTTGCTCTATATAAAGGTGAGAATAAACTAGAAGAACTACTCAATGAAATCAAGATATACATTGGACCTCTCAAAGATATTCAAGGTATTTACATACCAAGACTTCTAAAATTTGGGGTTCTTTATGAGACGTTTGTCTTTGTTCTTACATCTCTTGCTGAAGAAACTTTTGCGAATATGGGAGATAATATTACAAGAAAAGAAAAGCAGTTAGCCATTAAGGGCTTACAGGAATTACATTCGAAGGGAGTGATGCATAGAGACATTAGATTAGAAAATATAATGGTGAAGAGAATGAATGAGGATTCAACTTCTTGTGTGTGGTGGATTGACTTTGGATGGAGCAAAATGACAGATAATGTGAAAGATTTGGACAAGGAACTAACCAAGTTAAAATATTTGCTTGGAATGGTAAACACAATATAATTCATCAGTTTTTATCACATATACTGACACATTGAAATAAAGTATTTTATGCATCAGAAAAAATTATATTCTTAATAAAGGATAAGTATAAATTTTATTCGCTAACAATCCATTATTTTGTACTTAAATAAAATTCAATATATTGAGAGCGATTTCTTCAGCTACTAGTACAATGACGTGAATCAACCCTTCTAACAATTCATAAATTTTTTACAGATTAAAGAGAAAAAATATGAACCAATCATAAATAAGTTTTACCAAATAGGGCTTATATTTTTAACACATGCTACATGTATGCGAATACGATCCCTGAGCTGATACTAATAACTTATAAACATGTAAATTTCCCCGACATTCTATCCCTGGAATAAATAGTAAAAACTAAAAGGCGGAGGGGCGTGACACCGGTGACAAATATAAATGTCACATGATACGGGTACATACATCCCGTGTAAACTTTATTTTTAAATTATTTATTTGAAATCTTTATAAGTATAGATTTATACAAAATATATATCAGAAATAGTAAATTTCGCGTATTTTGGCCATTTTGACACATGAACCGCTTTTTCTCACTAAACAATGATATGGTGTCATTTTCTGTTATTACATCTTGTCAAGACTTTGAAGTCGCTTGCAGCCCTCAAGGTATGTATGGAAACTACTAGTTTCCCTTCGATGTGATACCCAAATTTGAATTGTAAACAGCTTCGGATTGATTATTCTATCGGCAAACTCTACCATATAATCCTAACAGATAGATGTGAGGGACGCTTAACAGTTATATAACAAAAGTGATATTGTCGTCATTGATATTTCTTTTCTCTTCCTCTTTGTAATTCATTTAATAAAACACGAAATAAAAAGGTGACACTGCGCCTCATCTATTTGGTAACTTTATGCTGTGGCTCGCAAACATATGACCAATTGGAAATGTTGCTTGGGAAAAACTCTTGGATCGAAAGTAACGAGACCAGCATAATTACTAACAAAATCTTACAAAGTTTTAGCTGATGAGTTAAGAAGTTTGAAGTTAATATATATATAAAATACACACTATTTTATTATAAAATCCATAAATTGACAGAAATAATTGTAGGAAAGAGTAAATTACTAGTAATTTCATGAAATTCGAAAGTTATGAAGGATTAGCTATACGTAAATGTGTAGCGTTGATTGTTGGTTGGGCTGTGCAAAGACGTCCGTGGCTTATTTTCGGCTCCATCTTCCATTATTTTTTTACATATAATTTTTTTTTTTCATATAGGAATCGAATCAACACCAAGGAAATATAGTTAGATAATTCTATTATTTCGAGTTTTGATAATTAATCAAGGATTAAAATTACAAAGTGTTGACAAAAAGCGGTTAAATAAAGCATCTTAACTTGATAATGTTGTAATTCCTTCCTAACATCATAGATTTGTACACTTTCTATGACCAAGCAAAATTTGAGTTTGTCCCCTGTTATTTCCGCCCCAACCATGTCCTCGTGACAACATTGTCTAACCTTTTCACTATAAATAATCGAATTTATCAATTAAACTCAATCAAGAATGGTTAAATTATTTACATCAAAGGATTATATTTATAACCGGATAACTATTTATAAAAATGTCATCACCCGGAATATTGCCTTAAACACTGCCCCCTTTTTATGGTGAAACGCCCATCCCTCGGGTTTCATAAATAAAAAACACTTGTTAAACTTGTTTGAGAATACGTAAATCAAAAAATTGACAGTTTTTAATAAATACATGATTATAAGATTAAAATTATGATACAAGAGAAGAGAGTTAAGGTGAGAGACGTTACAAGTTTTATGATTTTAGAAGCATCATTTGATTCAACAATTTTGGGTCTATAAGGATTCAGATTATTTTCGGAAGAAAAACCAAGGGATTCCAAAATACTTTTTGTGGCGGGACCAATAATTTCACTGTGATTCCCATTAATTTGCGAGACATTCTGATGAGTCACACCTCTAATGGCGACATATTTCATCAGGAAATCCGCAGTATTATTAAAAGTGGTTGAATCCAAATGACCGATGCTTGAACCGACCTTATATTTGATTGAGGTCTCCAATGGGATCGCGTTATTTAAATCCGAAAAACCTCTCGGTAAAAAACCTATACCAAGCGGAGTCGTCGCGGCCACGTAAACTGATTTGGCCAACTCGTACTGCTCCGATTGGAGCCATTTATTCAAAAATTCATCTGCGGATGAAAATTTTGCACCTTTACCACCACCAAATTTATTTAATTCCGTAGTTATTGACGTAAGAGGTTTACCTGATGGTAAGAATACCAAATACCTATCAAATGCCAATTCTTGAAACCCTTCAAACGTTATCTTATCACTCGATTCATCGGCTAATATCATGGGTGTGATGAAATCTATTCGAACATTCGAGTTCAATGCAAATGGATACCTCCAAGAGTTGGCAAACCCTAACCCATGAATCATTTCATGAACGACGACCAAAATAAGGTCCGTTTGATTGGGAAGGATTTGTGGGTCACCATCAAACCAAAAGTTTGCCCTCGAATTAAAACCCGCATTTATATCAAATTCGGAAAATTCGGGAGCTTTCTTTAATTGAAATTGTTTTATCAAGGCTTGAGGGTATAACCTTATCAAACCATCATCATCCTCCATCTCGATTAATCTCGCCGGTCCCGCTGCCCCTAACGGTCCTATCTCACCCGTTCCGCAAGTTGGACCGCACAAATCTCCGAACGTTGCATTGATCGTTATCGGAGTATTTAACGTCAAGGTTGAACTTATTATCTCCCCCGCTTTATTATAAGTTTTTAATACCTTATCACATATAACCTGATCATTAGCTAGGCAATTAAACTTTATATCAAACATGGAAGTTACTTGATTTAGGTTTATGTCGGTCAATGCTTTCGGGTTGATGGTTTTGATGGTTTTTGTCTCGCAATCTACGGATTTCTTTGCATCACTTAAAAAATCTGGTAAATCCCAACATCTTGCTGCTGAAACTTGTTTAAACGAAAACATCATGATGCTGTTAACCGCATATATGATGATTGTTATTGTTTGTAATTTCATGTTCTGAAACTAGTTATGTGTAAACCCAACAGGTTTTTTTTTTTTTTCTCCCTGGTATTTATATTTTTTTATTTTGTACAACCACAATGTTAATGAGGAATACCGGATTAGGTATAGCGTTATCCATTACGATCATAATAGGATCTTCCCGACGTTACCAGAACTCCTGCGGTACATGACAAACCCAATCATATCCGCGTTGGTGGTCACGTGAAATCATTGCAAATATCGGAATTTCGGGTTAGAAATTTCGGGTCAAGATTAACTTTGTACATGAAAAACGAGAGATTAAAAAAACAAAGAATGTGTACAAACGGAAATTAAAAAGGGAACAAAAGCCTGGTTTTTTTAAGCTATGCGATATCACTACTATTTATATTCTTATATTTGTTCCAGTTCTGGTATGTCCGATCATTAAATATATCGTATTGTGGCGATGTCATTCAGCCAATGTCTAATTTCAGAAAACAATCTTTATTAGTATCTTAAATTAGAAACTTGTTTGATGTAATCAAAATTCTCCATGAATTGAATTTATTTTTGGTTACCTATAAATTTTCTTTTTTTAAAAATTCAAAGGAGGGAAAAAAGGAATATCAAAAAAAAAATTCGTGCATGCCTGTTGTTAAATATGTGAACATACTCCTGTGTAAATCATATAAAATTACTATTTATATTGTTATTTAACGTTCTAGTCACAATATAAATTGTTTCTCTAACTTATTTTACCCTTCTATATCGGTAACACGGATTTTATTGCGAGCGAGTTACCTTCATCACTTATTTTTTTTTTTTTCATATATATATTTTATATATATTTTCCTCAGTTACAACATATCTAAATATATATTGTAGATTATGTCCTTTTAATTATTCATGTATTAAATTTATTACTTGCACGTCTCTGCTTTTTTTTTTTTTACTCTTAGCAAAACTCTTCGTTTACATTTTTCTACTTACTCTTCCTTTTTTTTTCTTTCCTAGCCTCTATACTAGCCCTTTTTTTTTTCATTTATTTTTTTGTAATAATATATGTAATTTATTATTCATTTATTTTCAATTGGGCGTAGAGAATAAGAGGGTAATAATAAGAGGAACGAGTGTGGTTTTTTTTTAATTAAAAAAAAAAAAAAGCTACCAAAAAACAAAATCTAAATTTTTTTTTCATATAATTTTATGGACATTGATACGATATAGAAACAAAAAAAAAAAAAAAAAAGAAAAAAATTTCATAGTAATCATTAGTAATAATAATTAATATTGTCTTAATAATAAGTACGCAAAAAAATTTTCCCCAACAAAAAAAAAAATATTAATATAATAATATGGGGAAAACAAAAAAGAATCACGGCTCAGAACACTTGGGAGCTTCCTCCTCGGTGGATGACCAAGTCGACTTAATACAACTTTTATCAAACACGACGGCTCCACCAAATGAGGACGAGATAATCTCCTTACTACAAGCTCGTTTTAAAGCCGACTTACCTTATACTAGACTTTCTTCTTCTTTAGTCGTAGTTAATCCTAATAAAAGTTTGGGTTGTATGAACGATGCCTCAGCAAAAGAGTATGCTGACCAATTTTACAAGGACACTTCGGGTAACAAGTCCGCTTTACAACCTCACATTTACGAGTTGGCCGCTAAAGTTTATTTGCACATGAGGAGATCGGCCGAAGATCAATCCGTCATATTTAGGTAAGTAATTACGTGTGGGTGCTTTGTATGGTATCGTGAAATGTGTGCTGACGAATTTCCCTTTCTTCCCCCCCCCCCGTTAATTAGTGGTATAACTGGATCAGGCAAGACCGCGACTCAAGGACATTTGTTACAACAATTATTACTCTTGTCAACTCATACAAAAAAAGAATCTAAAGTTGCCAATCAAATACAAAATGCTCAAATCATTCTCGAAGCTTTCGGTAACTCAAAAACCAAACAAAACATTAATGCTTCCCGTTTTGGGAAATATCTTGAATTACAATTTAATGAGCGCGGTAGAATCGTTGGTGCAAAGGCCCTAACTTATTGTTTCGATAAGGCGAGGGTAACTGAAATACCTTCGAACGAAAGAACTTATCACGTTTTTTATTATTTATTGTCTGGTTTCACTCCTGAAGAAAAATCTCAATTAAACTTATTGGAACCTCAACAATATAATTACTTGGCTCAATCGAAATGTTATAAAATTCCTGACGTTGATGATTCGATTCAAATGGATGATTTAAGATCTTCGCTCAAGACTCTTGGATTCAAATCAAGGACCGTCATGCAAATTTGGCAGATCCTTTCCGCTATTTTATTACTTGGAAATATTGAATTCGTTAGTCATGGTAAAGCAAAGGATGAAGCGGCTGACATAAAAAATCATCACATTTTAGATTTGGTCGCTCAATACCTTGGTGTGCCAGCGTTTAAATTAAAACAAACCTTAACTTATAAAACAAAGTACATTGGAAAAGAATTATGCACCGTGTTTTTAAATGCCGAGGCGGCCTCGGAACAACGTGATGCTTTGGCCCGTGCCCTTTATTCTATCTTATTCACGTGGATCGTTGAACATATAAATTCAAAATTAATCCAGTCCGATGAACCCCCAAATTTTATCGGTTTGTTGGATCAACCTGGTTATCAAAATTTTGCTAATAATTCTTTTGAACAATTTTGTTTGAACTTTGCCACTGAAGAGGTGGAAAATTTTGTACTTCAGCAAATTTTTGATGATACCGTTGGTTTGAATAATGAGATCACTCAAGATGGGGTCCCCTTACCTAATGTTTCTACCATGGATAATTCCGGGTGCGTGGAATTATTACGTGGTGATCAATCTGATGGCGCGAGAAAAAGTTTGGGTTCCTCGGGTTCTTCAAATATCGTAAGCGGTGGTTTGATCTCGTTACTAGATGTCGAATGCGCCAAGGTTCAGAGTGGTGAAGAACCTTCCGATGATTCAAAATTACTTTCCACTTTACAAAATTCTTTCTCGAGTCATTCGTCCTTCATCAGTAATCCTTCCACCTCAAAGATCTTTTCGAAATCTGGGGCGTTCGGTGTGAATCATTTCGCCGGTCCAGTAACTTACACCATTGATCAATTCATTGATAAAAATCTCGACAATTTAAGTCCCGATTTTATAAATTTATTTTATGATACGAATAATTCTTTCCTAAGAAAGTTATTTAATGGACCCGCTTTGGCTATTGAAAGTCATCCAAAGAATGAGAATACCGTCGTTAAAGCTCAGTTACCCACCAAACCGATGAGAGCTCCTTCCATGAAACGTAAGAAGAGCAACGCCGGTGGCTCAAATTCAGGAAAGGTGGAGGAAAAGGCCTCGGACGATCATCATAGTTCAAAGAAAAAGATTCAGGTTACCACCGTAGCAACCCAACTTTATTTTACTCTCAACCAATTAATTGATACCCTGAAAGAGACGAGGATGTGGAATGTGTTTCAAATTCGTCCAAACGACGCTAACGAGCCTAACGTGTTTGACGCAAAACGCGTAAAAGCCCAGGTCAGGAGTTTCTTGATTCGTGACATCATCGTAAGAAAACGCGTGGAATATACCGCTCAGTATACCTTTGAAGATTTCCTGACTCGTTACGAGACGATCATTGCTTCACTGAACCTGGAACCTTCCAGAAACCCTCAACAGAAGGTCGAGACTTTTGCTACCATAAGCGGTTGGGGTGAGAATCAAATGGCGATGGGTCGTAAAACCGTTTTGCTTTCCGATCCGATATGGAAGGAATTGGAGGATTCGCTTAGAGCCGCGGAGAAGGAGGAGCGTGCCAAGTCTAAACTTCGAGATGATGATAGTTTGGTCGGGGGACCTCATGATGGTAGTCGGGGCGGCATCAACACGGCCTCCGCCACGAGTTCCGCGGATCGCCTTTTACCGAGGAGCGGTGGCGCGAATTATTCTAGCAGCGAAACCGGTTATTATGAAGATAGTTACGTTGATAGTGAGGACGAATTTTCAAAAGCTGGAGGTGCTCAACTTGCCGAGGATGATGAGGGAAGCATGTGGGGAAGTGATTGGAAGGCCAGCGATGGTTATGGCAACACGGGAGGACAGAGAGGGCTTGCTGAAGCAGATAATAAGGAAGGTGATTTAAAGGAAGAGATCGAAGAAGTGCCGACCACCAGAACTCGAATTTGGTGGGTTCGCTTCGTTTGGTTATGCACGTGGTGGATCCCTTCCTTCCTTCTTTCTTGGGTTGGTAAAATGAAACGTGAGGATGTACGAATGGCTTGGCGTGAAAAGTTCACCCTTTGTCTTCTCATTTTCCTGCTTTCGGCTTTTATCATCTTTTACATCATTGCTTTCGGAGATCTGATCTGCCCTAACAAGGACAAGGTTTATAAGACGGAAGAAGTTTCAACACATCAAGGGGATGATGATTTTTGGGTGAGCGTTAGGGGTAAAGTTTATGATCTATCCAAATTTCACAAGACCAATCATGCAAGGGGGGCTCCAGGGTATACCGCAGGGTTATCACAGATGGAACCTTACGCCGGCAAAGATGTGACATACATGATCCCGATCCCTCTGGGAGAGCCCGACGTCTGTGGGGAATTAATCAACCCTGCCGATTTAGCGCTCGTGACTGTCGAGTACAATTCAAATGGCACCGATGATCAAGTTCCTGGATCGTTTATTCACGACTCCGGCCCACGTTCAACCATTAAAACTCCCAGCCTTTCAAGCAACAGGTGGTATTGGGATAGTTTCCTAACTGCTGTGAGTGCTAATGGAGGACTTAAGGCGGACGTCGTTTATTCTAAAAAAGAGGTTGCGGCCCAGGCTGATCAAGGTCGTAAATGGGGAATCATCAATGATAAAATCTATGATTTAACGATATATTTCACCACGGCCGACAGACATTCTCAATACGCTAGCAGACCACCTGCCAACGTGCCAAACTATCGTTATTTGGATGATGCCATAGAAGTTCCCTTTGATAAACAACCCGGTGGCGATTTTAGTAAAATCTTTAACAGTAACATGGATGAATATATTGATCCGGTCCGAAAACAACTCAACTTGCAATGTTTGGATGCGGTCTTTTACGTTGGAAAAATTGATTTCAGAGATTCATTCAAATGTCAATTCAATAATTACGTCTTGTTGGTAGCCGCTTGCGTCATGTGCGCGGTCGTTCTTGTTAAATTCTTGGCTGCGTTGCAATTGGGGGCAAGAAGAAAGCCCGAGGATCATGATAAATTTGTCATTTGTCAAGTTCCTTGTTATACAGAAGGCGAAGATTCTTTGAAGAGAACGATGGATTCTTTGGCAGCACTCACTTATGATGATAAGCGTAAACTTTTGTTCTTTATCGCTGATGGTATGATCGTCGGTTCCGGTAACGATAGACCTACGCCAAGGATCGTATTGGATATTTTAGGGGTCGATCCCAAACTGGATCCCGAACCCCTAGTGTTTAAATCGGTTGGTGAGGGGATGCAACAACTCAATTATGGCAAGGTTTATTCCGGATTATACGAGTACGAAGGACACGTCGTTCCCTATATCGTCGTGGTTAAAGTAGGAAAACCATCAGAAAAATCACGTCCGGGTAATAGGGGTAAGCGTGATTCGCAAATTATTTTAATGAGCTTCTTGAACAAGGTTCACTTTGACCTGGAAATGACCCCGTTGGAATTGGAAATTTATCATCAAATGAAGAATGTCATTGGAGTGAACCCAAGCTTTTATGAGTACGTACTCATGGTGGACGCTGATACAGAGGTGATGCCGGACTCCCTTAACCGTATGATTTCTTGCATGTTACACGACGGCCGAATTATTGGAATTTGCGGAGAGACGACCCTGGTTAACGAAGAAGGATCTTGGACGACTATGATTCAAGTTTATGAATATTACATTTCTCATCATTTGGCCAAAGCATTCGAGAGTTTATTCGGATCGGTTACCTGCCTTCCAGGATGTTTCTGCATGTATCGTATAAGAACCCCCGTTAAAAACACGCCATTGATCATATCAAATGTCGTCATCGACGATTATCAAGAAAATCACGTGGATACTCTGCATAAAAAGAATTTGCTCTCTTTGGGAGAGGATCGATACCTTACAACCTTGATGATGAAACATTTCCCTCAGTATAAAATGACTTTCACGCCGGATGCCATGTGCAAAACGGCAGCACCAGATCGATGGGCAATTCTTCTTTCACAACGTCGTCGATGGATTAATTCCACCATACATAACCTCATGGAACTCGTGTTTTTACCTGAAATGTGCGGGTTCTGTTGTTTCTCCATGAGATTTGTTGTGGTCATTGACTTATTAGGTACATTTATTTTACCATCCACGGTAGTTTATATCATATATTTGATCTGGGTAGTTGTAACGGACAGGCAAAGTTTACCAATTATCGCGCTTGCGATGATAGCGGCCGTATATGGATTACAGGCAATCATTTTCATATTGAAAAGACAATGGCAACACATCGGATGGATGATCATCTACTTATTGGCATTCCCAATCTTCTCATTTTTCATTCCCGTTTACTCATTCTGGCATTTTGACGATTTTAGTTGGGGTAATACACGCGTTGTGGTGGGCGAAAAGGGTAAAAAACAGATCATTACAACCGAAGAGGAGAAATTTGATGAAAAAATGATACCAAGGAAAAGATGGGCAGATTACGAACAAGAAATGTGGGAAGTTAATACTGCCGAAAGTCATGAATCAAAACAAAGTGCCGCAAGTGGTTATAGTCACAGAAGTAGAGCAAGTGGACGTGGTGGTTATAATGATTCTGCTTCACAATATGGTGGAAGTCAATACGGAGGCGGTGGTAGCGTATATGGTGGGAGTCAACATGGGGCCGCAGATTACTACAGGGACACAAATTTAAGCGCTCCGGCCGACAGGAGGGCGAGATCAAAAAGTCCCGTACCACGTTATCCTTCATCTGAATCGAATAGAATGAGTAGAGCTTATAGTAACGCTGGTGATGATTTAAGGGGTCCTCCTTTAGAATATTTACCCCCACCTTCTCGACCCATGAGTTCATATACGAATGATGGCGGTCCAACAGATGAAGAATTATTAATTGAAATCAAACAAATATTAAAAAATGCTAATCTAATGAGTATCACGAAGAAGCAAGGTATGTATCGAATTAAAAACCTTTTTGAAATTTATTATGTGGTTTTTTTTTTTTCCTTTTGTTAACGTAATGTTTATTTATTTATTTTTTTAGTTCGAGAGCAATTGACAATATTATTTAATATGGACATGTCATCAAGAAAAGATTTTATTAATAATAGTATAGAATTAATTTTACAAGGAAAACTTTAGAGAACACGAGGACAACTCTCTTTTTTTTTTTTTTATAAAAGAGTTGAATGTTATATTTTAATTTTATTTTTTTTTTTTAAAAAAAAAGGAAAAACATTTACATACTCATACCCTACATAAAAATTTTGATTATTAATTGGTGTGATTATTTTATTATTTTGAATAAGACATTTTCTTTTGAAAAATGTACCTTTATATTTTAGGAAATGTAATTTTATTTTTTGTTTAATTATAATACATTTTTTATTAATAGTATTATTGTATTTTGGTAAAAAAAAAAAAAAAAAATAATAATAATAATTTATTATTTTTCATTATTTGGTTATTATGTGTTCGCAAATAATACACGAAATAAATAAAAAAAAAAAAAATGCTTGTTAAAATATTCCAATCAAAGTATTACAAAAGCTCGCCCATTTAAGCTTTTATTCTGAATCGTCGGATCCATATGCACCTAATAAGCCGCCAAGCGGATTGATGTGGGTAGACGTGGATTCAGATGATATACCAGACTCAAATTTTACAATGGGAGTAGATGTCGCTTCGTTCTTCTTTTTCTTGACAACTATTCCAAGATCCGATCCAGAATGTTTTCGTTTAACTAACGAAGGGCCTCCTGGAGACGAAAATGTAGGTAAAAGTAAAGTCTTTGCGGAATCCGAGAGTAATTGATTTAAGTCCGGTTCTTCTTCATCAGCAACCCTTTTAACAACATCACCATCAACATCGTGAAAGATTGATTTAGCTAATTTATCATCTTCCTCCTCCAATAATTCTTCTTGTGATTTTTCTTTGATTATATCTTCTTCAACTAATTTATCTAATAAAGCATCGGCATCAACTCTTTCATTCCTTGCATTTCTTGTCCTGATCTCATCTAAAGCGTCTAAAATATCCATCTCTCTTTTTGAATCAATAGTCCGATTTTCCAATGCTTTCATCGGATTATTTTCTTCTTCCAATTCTTTTAATAATTTACTTTCCTCCCCCGCTATTCTTTCTTCCCTCCATGGTTCAAAATTACGTTGTGCTCCATGCTCGGCCACATAATCCGTATTTTTTGGATCCGTTTTAAATGTAATTTCTGCCGAACATCTTGGGCACTTTATATAAAATCTAAATATTTTAATGGAATAATATGTTTCCCCTTCTACCGTTTCTTTACGTGCATTAAATTTCTTTCCTTTATATATATATTCTCCACACGTATCACACCTCATCGCATATGGTGTCATTAGACGAACTTTATGCTGAGCATCTTTAGCCTGTTTTCTCCTTGGTATAGCTAGATTTCATGTAGAATTAACAACTTAAAAAATTGATTCGAGTTTAAAGAACTAGCATTCTAGACCGAAGCAAAGAAAAAAAAAAAAAAACTCACCAGCTAAGAGTTGAAATATAAGAAAATATAATAATAATAATTATCAAAATATGGTTCGTATAAAAAAAAAAAAAAAAAAAAAAAAAAGACTACTCGTACCTGGATCAAAGTCTGGAGGAAAGTATTTATTTAAAACTTTACTATAATTTTTTTAAAATTAACTTGAAAATCTCGAAATCAAGTTCAAAAAGAACTCTTCTTAATATTGATTGACACTTACCGTTCACTCATTCTGTCAAAAGTTTGGAATAATAATGGAAGAGTAGAACAACACTATTACACGCCATATTTGATGATACTCACGTTACACACGTTACACCATAAATAGAAATTTCGTCGCTTTTATGTACTTCAATGGCCGATCTTATTTTTCTCAACTTCCTCGATTGATATTATACCGTAAATATGGGAAAGAAATTCGCAGATTCCGCTTCAATTCCTCGAAATTGGCCTTCTGACGTGATCTATCTAACCTCAAATGAATTCTCTCCTCCTTCGTTAAAACCTTCAAATCCTTTATCATTTCCTCTTCCAATATCGAAACACCCAAATCATCCATTTACTTCTTCCAATTTACTTCCAATAATTCCCTCGCCTCCAATGCCAAATCCAAACGTTATAATAAAGAGATTAACAAAACATGATCATCCTGCTTATCCAGGATATGGATTATTTGCTAACAAAGATTTAAAAGAATGTAATCTTGTCGTTTGTTATACTGGTAAAGTTACGAGAGGAGGTGAAGAAGGAAGTGATTATGTATTGGGATTTTGCAGCGAACTTTGTATCGATGGTTGGAAAAAAGGTACCTTCTGATGACACGATCTCTACACCAACTTTTATTTATTTAAACGGGAATTTCCATTTCATTTTTATATTTACAGGTAATGAAGGACGATTTGTAAACGATTATCGAGGCATTCTACAAAGACCAAATTGTACATTTCATGAATTTATTGATGCGCAAACAGGTGAAATAAAAATGGGAATTTGGATTTGTGCAGGCGTAGGAAAAATTAAAAAAGGACATGAGATCATGGTTAATTATGGAAAAGGTTTCTGGAACAGCAGAGGGTTATTTCGTGCGTATTAATAAATGTGTTATCGGATTCTTTGATAACGAAGCAATGTTTCGAGAAAGGAATTTTTTTAATGTTGGATTTAAATGAAATCGAGTGAAAAATTATGGCAAAGATTTGCCACAAATCACGAGTGAATTACGTAATTAGACTGTCGTTTGTTGACAAAAATTGAAAAAACAGAAATTGTCATTGTGATACATTAAGGGCCAAAGTTATACAATACTTAGAGTCCTGAATTTTAAATTGTATACGGTCTCTTTTTAACGAGTTCGTTGATTTTTTTTTTTTTAAAAAAAAGGTCATTTATTATTTATTTTTTTTTTTTTATTGTGTATTTAATTTCTATTAGTCAAATACCAATTGCGTGACGCAAAAAAAAAGTAAATAATAAATAAAATAAAAAGACCACAAAAAAAAAAAAAAAAAAAAAAAAAAAAAAGCTTTTTCTCCGCGTTTGCTTTATAAATTGGAAATTTACTTTACATCGTAAAAATGGAAGACAACATGATGATCGACCCAACTACTCCAGCACAAAATACTCTAACGCAAAATTTTCAAGCCATTGTGAACAATACTCAAGTGGTGTTGGACTGGAAGTGAGAAATTCTTATATTATATGTTTTGAACATTTCTTTTTATATTTCACATTTATATATTTTTACTTTTATAACGCGGATTCTTTTTGATAGATATGAAATGAGACGACAAATGCAAGAAATTCTCCCAGGATTGTTTCTTGGTCCCTATTCTTGTTCAAAAGACCTTGAAATGTTACAACAAAATAACATATCACATATTGTATCAATTCGAGATTCATCAGAGAAAATGTTATTAAAACCAAGATTTCCTGAACATTTTCGATATTTTGAAATAGAGGTGAAAGATTCTCCTAATGAAAGGTTGATTCCCCATTTTCCACAAGCAAAAGCATTCATTGATGATGCACTTTATAACGGAGGTAGAGTCTTTGTTCACTGTAATGGTGGAATTTCAAGAAGTCCTGCTTTCGTGGTCGCATATGTTATGGAAACTGTAAAGATGGACTATCAGCAAGCGTATAGTTATGTTCAAAATAGAAGATTTTGTATGAATCCCAATGAAGGATTCAAAGTCCAATTAAAGGTAATATATTCTCGATTCATCCATCCTTTTGAATTAAAATTATGTTTATTATTATTTGAATTAATTTTTATCAATGTTTTGCAAAGGAATATGAGCCCATATATTCCGCCAGGGATTCAATTAGTGGACATCAATATACGCCAGGAGAAATAGGAAGACAAGCTATACGAAGACCTGCACCTGATGAAGATGATCCGTAAGTCTTAATTAGAATCTCTAAGCAAGGGGATGAATACTAATTTTAGCTTCTAACAATTAGAAATGAATTTGAACTTGCAAGAAGAGCGCCTGCGTTCCATGGAGAAACAAATGTACAGAGGTGAAGTAAATTGAAACATTAAAAACTCTGAAAACTCTAATTCGTTCATTAAAGAACAAAAAAAAAAAAAAAAAAATTTATTCATATTGAAATGCTTAAATGATAGAGAAATTCTGTTTATGGGTTGTAATCATTTTGGTATTTCTTAAAATTTCTAAAAGATGTATTGTGCATAATATATTTTTTTATTATCTTCTTATCTTATGGGACTAGTATTAGCTAAAGAAGTTTGTTGATGTGTTGTTTTTACCCATATAAAATATATCACATCTAACAACCCTGTATTATAAAACATTTTTTTCATTATTTTTATTTTATTTTTTTTTTCCCTTCCCTTCTTTGCCAATATTATTCACATAAGTGCGGAGGTGTAATTAAATTGAGGTAAAATACGATTCAACTCTGATGAATAGGTTTACAGAACACCTTTTTATGTAAAGAAAAAAAAAAAAAAAAAAAAAAAAGACAATTTCGAATTTAGTGGATTAGATCGCACAGGGTGTGGTGGTAACTTGTATTCATAGGAATTTATCTTTTTTTTTGGCATTGTTTGTCTTATTACCCATATTTGATTATTGCTTTTTTAATAGGTATTTTTTTTTTTTTTTTTTTTACATTAAACTAAAAATCACAAGAGAATAAATAAATAAATGAAAATAATAATAATAAAATGCTATTTATTTATTTGGATACAAAGAAAGTTATAATCTTGGGTATACTTTGTGGTGATCCAATTTGTAAAATTAAGTTAATCGGTTAATTAACCGGTTAGTATAAAAATAAAAATAAAAACAATTAACCAAAATTTTTATTTATTTTTGAATTAGTTAGTATGTTACTAGTTAAATGTAAATGTCAATTAAGAAAATTTCTTATTTGTTATTATATCACCGGTTATGATTTCACTAATACTGGATGCTTACTAACTTTATTTTAGCTAAAGAAATTCATAAAGAAATTATATAATAAATAATATATATAAATGTATGTATAAAATTAGTTTTTATATAATAAAAATAATAAATTATGATTTAAATAATATAGCTTAAAATTTTAAATAAAACAAATCAGATTAGCAGCTTTTTAGATTGATATTAGATTAAGTTAAATTAACCAAAATAAAAATTTTATTAATAAAATAAGAAAATTATTAAAATAAAAAATTTTTATTTTTATTACTATATTTATTATAAAAAATATTTTAAAACTAATTTATAAAAAGTGAAAAAATTATAAAAAAGAATTAATTTATATATTAAAATGTATTTTTTTAATAAAATTAGTAATTAGATCCATTTAGAAAAATATAATCTATTCTAATATTACCTTAAAATTTTTTATTTTTATATAACTTATACAATTTGTTATCTTATATCATAACTCTCATTTTTCATTTTTTACTATATATTTTAAAATTTTAAATTTTTTTTAATAATATAAAATATTTATTTTATTCTTTTATATATTAATAGATACATAAACAAATATATAATTAAGATCACCTAATAGTTATTTTAGTAATTTAATAAATGAAATATTATGTAAATCTTACATTCTGTAATATTATAATAAAGTTAAGAGAATATCAAAATATTTATATATATATAGTATTTTGAAAGTTTACATATATGTAATATGTCAAAAATTTATAATGTATAATATATCAAAAGTTAATGAAATATAATACTTTAAAATATAGTACTTTAAAGACTTATAATATATAATATATTAAAGTTTATGATATATAATATTTTAAAACATAATATTTCAAAATTCATAAAATGTAAATATCATGAATCTATTTATATTCTGATTATTAATTATTACTTTTAAAAATTTTTATTTTATAGCATAATATTTTTTATTATATTATTTTATCTATTAGATAAGTAAATTTTTTCTTTTTCTATTAATTATCATTAATTTTATTATAGTATAAAGAATATTTATTAAATAAAAAAAAATCTAATATAATTTGTCATATTTTAAAAATATCAAAATAAAAAGATTTTAATAAATAAATAATAATATGTAAATTTAAATAAAATAATAATTATAATTTATAATTCTTCGTTTAATTTACAATTAATAGTACTTTAATATCTAGTTGCTAAATGTATAAGTAATTTGTATTATAATATTTATTTATGCTAGTATTATTCCTCCTTATAATAATTACATATAACTTAATATCAACGAATAAGTTAACAGTTCTATTTTAATAGAATAGATTAATTTAATTGATTTAACCTTTTTAATTACTTGATTTACTATTGTTAATATTACAATTTGTACTAGTATTATAAATTCTGGTCGTAATCCTTTAATTAACTTAACAATTCTATTTATTTCACTCACCTATATCATGAGTTAACTTTTTTTTATAATTTTCTATAACTATAATATATTCTTCAATAGTTTCACTGGCTTCTACTTTCAATATCTAAGTTGATATTTTCATTGATTTGCTTGAATATATTGCAAAAAATATTATTTAAATAATAGTACAAAAGAAATAATAGGATAAATTTACTATTTCAGTTAATAATATATTATTATTAAAATTATATTAATGTAATTCCTGTTAAGTAATTAGAAACTATTTTAACTATCAAATAATGCTAATTTAGTTTATCTTACATGCTTATTTGAAAGCTTCAAATAATTCTATTAAATTTTGATTTCCTTTTTTAACCATTAGTAGATTA